TTTACAGAAATAAATGGATTCACAAAAATATATTGTAAATATTTAAATTTATCACTGTGAATTTATCCCTAATGAGCAAGCCAGTGGCGACGGTGGCAAGGAAAAACTCCCCGAGATGATATGAGGAAGAAACCTTGAGAGGAACCAGGCTCAAAAGGGAACCCATCCTCATCTGGGTGCAACGGATAGTGCAATTATATAAAAAGCTGGATGGCATTTTTATCTATTGCTTGTATTTTTAATGATCTGATGGTCTGAGGGTATGACGTTACTCTATCCTGGAATGAATAATCCTTACTGTAAAGACTTGCTTGTTTTTCCATATCAAATTGAAGAGCTGATGTCTGGTAGGGGGCTGTGTTCTCTTGTGTTCCAAACAGCAAATTGTGGATGAAGGAGTCATTTCCTGGAACTCTGCAAAACTTGTAATGATAAAAGCACCTGCATGTCTCTCCGATGCACTATTGTGCAAGATAAACATCATTGATTATTTTTAGTTTCCAATGAATGGCCTAACTTGGAGTGCTTAAGAAAAAGAATTATAACAGTATTTGCCAATTGTTACGCTTGAGATGTTCTCAGGAAGGGCTTCTTTCTTGCAAGGCTTCCTAACAGCTTATTGCTATGAAAGAGGCCACTTCGTTTTTCCCTCCTTCACCATTCTCCGCACTGTGTGGCAGGACAGAGTGCTCATGGGTCCAATTCCCTGTTCTATGAACCTTGTATGATGGCATGATGTCTTATGATTTGTGGAATATGGCAGTACAAAGTGTGTGTGTGCGCTTCTATTTTATGCCTTTTATCAAATAATATACTGAATATCATTTTTAAAAAAGTTTGAGTAGTGTTTCCAGATCAAGAAACACTGGGAGGCAGCACAACACTTTTCTGTACTGCTGTTAAGTTATAAGCCTAAGTAAGCTGGCTGGTCCAAAAACCAGGATAGCCTGTGACCAGAAGGTCTGCTGCTGACTCACTGGATGACATCTTAGGAATGAATGCAGATGAAGGGGGGGTGTGGGAGGTAGAGGGGGATATTCCACTGATAATATTTAATCCAAGTTGTTGTGATGAGATCATCTAAACATCACTATTTGCGGTAAAGAGCCACCAGATAGTTTGTCTTTTCCTAAGTCACAGATGCTTCCTGTTCCTTAGTTAACACACAGGAGGCAAATTTAGTTCACTGGAAATAAGATTGAACACCTGTAAGATGTGAAACCTCATCAAATTACATTTTAAATGATTAAAATTTTATCTTTGATGGAACATACTAAATAAAAATACATGAATAAAAAATTAATAATCAGCAGTATTGTGTACAATAATGTGTACTTTATGGATTTTTTTTTCATGAAGAGTTTTTGCACTGACATCACGTTGAACTCCAAAACCCCCCAGACATGAATGAAACAAGAACAGCTCTGTGGGTGAACTGATTTTTTGCAGGTTCACAGTGGCCTTGTTTAAACTCAGAATAAGAGTTCTGAGTAGTCAGGCCATTAAAGGGATTTAGATCAGAAGAGAAATAGGATAAGGGTGGGTGATCGACAGCTCAGGAAAATCTGTGCTCCATCATCATTATTCTATATGCTATACAGTGTCATAGCAAATTAACCATGATTCATGGCTATGAATTCAACATTGTATTTCTGACAAGATGTTCAGTATAAGTTGAGGTTAAACAGGAAAAAACATGATGATATTTGACAAATATGACAACAGTGGATTAATGTTAGGATCTGAGATGTAGAAATTGAAAATTTGGATCTTTTTATAAATACTCTTTGAGACTTCAGGGAGTTCATTACATAACATTTTTTCTCAGCACAACTCCATAAATGATGAAAATGAGAAATTGCTGAGGTGGCTGGAACTGCTGTGGGGAGATTTGCCTGGAAGACGACTTTTCAGCAGCACTCCCACAGACAAACCACCAGTGGGAGACCAAGGAGAATCAGGGAGAAAACGTGCTTCCTGACTGTTTTTTGAATAGTTTCCATGGCCAAAATGTGGATTTCCCATTACATTCCAAATGATCTACCATCAATATCATGGTTCAGCCAGTCTAAATGAGAAGCAGCCATTTGTGACTTCGTCAACAGAGATGTAACATTGTTTTAATAATGTTACAATACAACACGTAGGAACTTATTTTATAGTTAGAACATATGTAAAAAGAATTAGAATGACATTTAAGACCTGTTTCTATGTATCCAAGGCCATTAGAGTGTACAGATGTCTTTATTCTTGTTCTCAAGCCTTTTCATCTATTAGGACTCTTCATACAAACTGCTACAAAGGACATATTCACTGCTATTCACTGCGGCTGACTGGTCTTTTAAATCAGAAATCAAAGCTTGTCACATGAAAGTAGGTTAGACAAGGGATGCTTGTGACCCTTTTTACAAATCCGCTTGAGACAAATACAGCTTCTACGGCCAGTCACTGGGCAATGTGTTTTACAAATAAAGGTTGCAGAAGACTGACTCAGGGGGCTTAAAGAGGATATAAATTCTGCTGCAGCCAAAGTAGTGGTCACATTCTCATCCTAGAGAAAATTTCTCCACAGGGTAATCCCCATGCCTTATAAAGTCTACACTTATCAGACAGTAGAATCAAACATTACTAAATTCTCCAAGCACAGAGAAAATTAAGTTCATTTCCTACTGTTGACATTTGAGTAGGGGGAAAAAGAAACATTGTTGATAAAATGGCTGGGACTAGATTCAGATAATGGTTTATAACTTTTAAAGTTTAGCAATTTATAGGATTTTTTCAACTGA